ACAAAGCCGGGTCTTCTGCCTTTTCCGCGGCCTTTTCCTTTGCCGCCTTTGGATGGTTTTCTGAATCTTCTACCATGGATTCTTCTACGGGTGTATCCTCCTTTGGCTGCTAACACCCAAAATTCGGACTCTGAGAACAAACTCACAAATCCTTCCTCGCCTGTTTCTTGATCCATCACCCAGTATCCGGATTCTTCTTCCAAGTCTCCTTCATCGAGGACAAGGAAAGTGGATCTTCTTTGCCTGCGGATCGAAGGATCGGCAGTTCCTGTGGCGGTTCCGCAAAAGAGATCAAGGAATAAGCCTTTGACACCTAAGTATGTGTAGTTGTTCATGTTGATCTGACGCAAGGCCATGCTGGCTACAAACCTTTCTCTCTGCTGTTCGTTAAGATCCGACTGAACTAAGAAAATAAGTGACATCAAGTTGTCAGACAATGGAAAGGTGTCACGATGTGCTTGTTTCAAAGCATCAATGTGTTCAGTACGGATTCTTTCTGCAGTTTCTCTTCTTTCTGTTGGATCGGTGATTTGTTGAAGTAGCATGTATTGCTGTTGCGAGAGGATATCAGTAAAGTTGAATTCATCAGGCTGTGGAACAGTCGAAAGATCTAACAAGCCCATGAAGGCTTCCATGACTTTCTTGCTAGCGACATCAAAACGAGCGATCCAGCTGACAAATTCCCCGTTTCCGCGCCAGGTCCTGAAGAGCTGCATGAAACAACAAAGAAAAACATGATTTGCTCCTTTGACAAAGTATTGGCGCAACGTCTCCTTGAAATACGTAATACCGTTTCTTTCATGACGAAGCTGTTCATTGTCGAGCATTTTCTTGTAATATTCGGCGTTTCCGGTTAGAGCGTTCTTCAATGATGGGCCTAATTTTTCGGCGCTTAATGTGGTGATATTCACCCAGTCATCAATCAAATCTTCAAACTCGAACCAGGATGACTGTCCATCGAATGACGGAGGAATCTTTGGCGTCATCTTGACACCTGCTGATGGCTGTGCCTCGTACGTCCGGTATGTCGAACTCGAGGACCTTCCATGCTGTTGGCGATGACGCGAACCTTGAGCTGCGAAAGCTTCTTCTGGATCTGTTACGTCAGATAGGTCGCTGTCATGCTCTTCGTCCGTATCTATGTTAAAGATCTGGACCATGGTCTATTTGTTTGACAAGTGACTGACTTGGTTGTCCCCTGTCCGGAATATCGGACGATTCGGCACGAAGGCAAAATCGACCAATGCGAAGCAGGAGACACAAGCTCCGCTACCACTTTGAGGGGTAAGTTCCCCCAGAAGTGGCAGTTGGATAACTGGACCTGATCGAAACACCAAGCAGTCAAACACGTGCGGTCGGTGTGCGAGCTGCGGCGAAGCACACCTTTTCTATGGCAGTGAATGCAGTATTGGGCTGCTAAGTCTTGAGCCAAATGAATTATGTCGAAAGCGGACTGAAGAGCTACAGACTAATGTATGTACAAGAACAGGTGCTACACGTATAGCGTAGACACGCCCAGGGGGACCTAGGACCCTACTAAACACAGGGGGGAGGGGGGGGGGCGGCAGGCTGTCGAAAAAAACCCCGGGGGGGGAGAAACCTTAAGCTGAAGCCAAGACAAGCTATACTAACCAAGACAATCCACAAAACACGCCGGCAGGCCGGCGGATTAAGAAGTGACGCCACCCCCTGTAGCCTGGAGCGTACAAGATACCAGTACAAACTACAGTCTAAATGTGCACTCACTCGAGCGGCAGCTCCACATTCCGTTAAAATGAACCAGACATGAGACCTGACGGCACTTGACGGCACCTGATGACACCTGATGACACCTGATCACACCTGACGACACCTGATCACACCTGACGACACCTGATCATGCCTGATGACACCTGACACAGTTCCACTCTGGATCAAAGCAGAAACAGCTTCTGCTGGCTGCAGCATTGTTTGTCTCTGACTGCCCTGCCATTTCAATTGCTGTCTGTCTATTGCACTTCTAGATCCACCATAGACATCCAGAGTACCGGTCTCAAGTTCGGGAAGAGGCCCTCTACATCGACCTCTACTTAGAATCTAAGATGGGGTAGGCACTGGGCCTGGCTCGAAAACACATGCTCCTGTGGCTTCCGAGTCTACTTTTGATCGAGTGAAAGATCCCTGTATTCTGCCAACCATGTCTAGTCTAGACAGCCCACCAAAAAGCCTTGCACCAAGCTCATGGTTTGTTTAGGTACAAAGGGCTGTCAAATCTCCACTGGTCAGGCCTTATCCATCCTGGACATGCTAGACCGATCGAGGTGACTTCTCCTTTGCCTCCAACAACGATGCAGCTTGTTGGAGCCGCTGCCTCTGGCTACTGCGCGGACCCTTCGCCCGGAGCCCGCGGGGTCACTTCCCATCGAGGTCGGCCTTCCTACCAAGAGGGCTCATCGTGCGTGATGATTTGGATTTCAAGTCTTGGAATCGTGCGATGTGTGCTGCATGCATGGGCCCACTCATGGAACTTTCCTGCCAGGCCAGAACCACCTCTTTCACAGGTCTTAAAAGTTCAGCACGTGGCCAACGCAAGACAGTTTCATCATGCCGAGGACAAGTTTTTGCAGAGCCTAGCCCTTGGACCAGATCATGCAGACTACTTGACAGGGCAACATCAATCTTTCAGGCGCAAGGCTTCACCAATCGGCCGTATCTATAGATAGTTTTGCATCAGGAGAACAAGAGCTGTTAGATCAGAACAGCGCTCCTCTAAGCTTGTGGAGCGGACTGAACCGCCTCAGCTGATCTTGAAACTCCAGGCTAGCGGCTAGACGCCCAGGCTGCTGCTATGCCTCACAATTCAGCTCAACTTGGCAACTGTTGAAGAGATAGGCTTGTGGCCAGTCGGCCAATCAAGACTCCAAATGTCGAGGATCTGGTCCTGCTTGAACGACGTTGGGTTGCAGATGTCATCCATAGTTGACCTCATTCGGGGATCAAGCATATTTTATAGAGGACACCAACGAGTTTTTGCTGTGTGTACGGAAGTAGATGCAACCACTGGGGCGTGTGGGAGCTTAAGGGCACTGTGCGTCAGATAGGTGCAGCGCCTGGGAACAACTGAGTTTGGAGCTGGAAAACACTGACCACGCAAAGCACGGATGCATGGATGATCATGGATGGTATGGTATGCCACTTGAAGGTATGCCGTACGCCACAGCTGCTTTGCTGGCGCTGGATAATCTCGATTCGTCTCGGCTCTCAACTGTTGATGCCTGAACTCAGGGAGAAGGTGTTGCGCTCAGCTTCGTGTGATTTATCACAGGGGGGTCGCAATGGACATGTCACGGGTTGGCTGAGGAGGGAGGGTGTGGGTTGGCTGGTGAGGACAGCAACCCATTGGAATGCTGTGATGATGCCCACGTGCTGATCTTGAGCTGTGGCCAACACATCTCAGTGAGCCATAGTGTTGCTTCTGCAGCTACAGAGTGACTGACTGGAGTCGAGCGCCTGATGGCGCCCTGACGATGCCCCGGTGACACCTGATGACACCCGGTGATACGTGATGATAATGGATGACACCTGACGACGCAGGATGAGTTTTGATGACACCTCATAACACGTGAATGACACCTGTTGACGCAAAATGCTGACTCACACATGATGTCGCCTGAGCCTGATCCCGCCTGATGAACATGGCGACGCCTGAATGCACCTGACAGCGCTTGACGACACTTGATGACTCATGACACCTAATGACAATGATGGCACATTCTTACACCTGATGATGTTTGTCTGACGCCTGGTGACATTTGATGACACATGATGACGCCTGATGACACACGATTCAAGTGACACATGATGACGCCTGATGATCTCTGATTGCATATGATGGCCACGATGTTATATCATGACATCCGAAGACACATCTTTAGCTGGATTTTTTGGAAGTTTGCATCCAGTCTCAGGAGCCACCTGGCCTTCTCGGGCGCCTCCAGAGGCCACGCCATGCCGGTGGCCGCTGTTAGGCGCTCTGAGGCACGAAGGCGGCCGGCGGGTTCGCCGCCCCTCGACCTGGGGTGATTGGGTGTGGTTTGGGGGTGGGATGGACGTGGGGCCGGCAGGGTTGTCGCTGAGACCAGGAAAGGATCACGGACATTTGGTTGAAGGAAAACACATTTGTTTCGATCACTTTCAATCATTTATATAATACATTTTCGATTGAACGACGAAACTATATATATATATGTATTGTATCAGTTAAATTGACCAAAACGTCAGTTTACCTGAGCTGGATGGCAGTGCTTCCATTTGTGCAGGTCTCCAAATAATTACTGTACTCATTTGTTGTTCTCCAATAAAATTCATCCGTCGTTGCGGAACTGTTTGTGCTGTCACTTAGCTTTTCTCCCATGGTGATCACCGAGTGACCAATGCTGGTGACTTCTTTGCCTGAACACCTTACCTTCTCATGTTTTAACCTCCTACTACAATACAACCTGTCAGGACGTCACAGTCTGACAGTCATTTACACACATAAAACAGTTCAGAACCATCAACGTTCGCACAGAGAAATGCAAGCATGTGATCAGATGATAGTTGGTAAGGGTCTTAATTTTAGTTGTTTATGTAGTGCTTGGCGGAAGATGTAGGGAATGTCATAGTGTCATACTTTATCCTTTCCTTGGCGCTGTAACTTTTGGAGATCATGAAGGGACCAGATTCACCTGCCATGGAAAAGCTCGGATGACATGATTATAAGGATCCAGCCTGCACCAGAGTGGTACGGGATGCCTGTGGCTCAGTCTAGGATCAAGCTTCTGCGAACTGGTTTGTATGCTTTTGGCAATTGAGAGTCAATACTTTCTTTTACAAAGCTATTCACTTTTAAAGACTTCACTGGCACGACAATCAATCATGCGTGCATGTTTGCACGGATGATCAACTGTTGCATTTTGGGACCAGCGGTGCAGAAGTTTGTGTTTATGTGCTAGGACCATCGGATCCTTATTGCACCCTCCATTGAGAGGTTGGAACATAATTCTTTCCAGAATGTCAAAGCAACAACACAGCATACCAAAATCTAGTGGACAAACTTGTGTTCCGTATGGCTCCGAAATGGGGTGCACAAATTGTTCCAACTTGAGCAAGTTGTTAGCGATGCACTTGTTGCTAGTAGCTGCAGCTTCTTGTTACTATAGAGACTTGTGAACTCAACTTCTCTTAGACACCTTTTGAGCAAAGAGTTCAAACCTCTGAGTGAGCCTTTTCAGGAGACGCCCGCCCTTTGCAGTGTCACCATATCCAGTTGGACAACCTGCGGCACTGCAGGCTCAGAACTTTTCTGGAAAGTAGTGTAGAGGGGGTCCGGAGAGGCTCGATGAGGTTGTATGGATGGAGAGATGGACGGAAACTTGGAACTAGGCTTGGCAAAACCCCTTGCAGCATGTTGCAGCATCCTTCCGAATTCTTGTGCACTTTGCGTCTCAGGGTGATGGAGCCTGCGTACCCTTTGACAGCAGCTGCAGCCCTCGAAGCGGAAGTCCTCTAAGTTGCATGTCCTCATTACGTGTGTCTTTTCACAGAATCTCAAGGTGCTATTGACGCAATGCAAGTAAATATAGCCTTTGCCACCTTGGACAGAAGATGATGGGCCGTGCAGCGAAGAATGAAGCGGTTGGTAGTTGTTTTCATGAAGAGAGGACCCCATGCTTTTTGCTCTTATTCCTTGTTCGAGCCACACTACAGTACTAATGTGTATTTGTGTGTTTGTCCACAGCTGGTTGAGCTCCAGCCTGAGGCAACACGAGTGACCTCGACGAGGCACGAAGCTCAAAGGGTGAACGCAGGTATATAACCAGATAAGGCTTAGGTCTTGACAACAATTTAACTATTCGGTCATTTGTGCATGTCAAACGCACTGTGAGGCCAGACCAGAAAGGCTGCGGGTGAACTCTTACGCGGGAGACCCAAAGGAGCCAATGTTGAAAGAAACAGCAAGATTCCTGCTCAATAATGATGCATGAGCCCCTAGTTGGGCTCAGCCAACCTGGTAAGGCTTTCAGCCGGGGTCGCTCAGCTCAGCAAAGCGTTCCTTCACGCCCTGCAACTTGGTTGCAAATCGAAACGGGCTGAGGGAGACGTCACCAACTGGAGTTGGCGACCACCCCGCCTTTGTGCACTCGTTGCAGCACGAGGTCAATGTTCAGGATCGAGCCCACTCAGTTCCTCTTGCAGAGAGAGACCATCGGGCCGCTCGATGCAAGAAGAGTTGCGGTACCAAGATTCTAATGCCTGCAGTCAGGCCCGAGTCATCTACGACCAGGTGAGTTCTCGCAATGCTGAGGCCCAAAGGGAGGATTGTGCGTATCTATGTTGTCAGATTGTTGGCAGTGGAAGGGTCATGCAGGAAAGAGTAAGGCTGTTTTCCAAATAAGAATGCTCAAGGTCCATTCACCGAGCCGCCCGCATGCGCCAGATTCCGAGGAGATCCTTGGTTAATTTGCGGTTAAAACAATTTGTCGCTTAGCGGCGATCAGCCGAATCAGCCGTTGACTAGCGTGAAGACTGGCATTATGTCGGGCACGCCAGCCATAGATACAAGGAGCCAAAATAGTTTTATAAAGCAAAAACAAAGCAAAAAAAAAGCAAAAGGCAAAGCAAACAAAAAAGCAAAAAAATGTAGCTGTGCGTATTTGTCGCTTTTTTTCACTTTTTTTTTGCTTTATTTTCGCATTTTTTTCGCTTTATTTTCGCTTTTTTTTCGCTTTTTTTCGTTTTTTTTTTTTTTTCGATTTTTTCGCTTTTTTCCTAGGAGGGTACAGCAAAAACATATTTGTCGCTTTTTTTCACTTTTTTTTCGCTTTATTTTCGCTTTTTGTTCGCTTTTTTTTCGCTTTTTTTTCGCTTTTTGTTTTGCTTTGTTTTTGCTTTTTGCATTGTTTTTGCTTTGTTTTTGCATTTTCATTTGCTTTTATTTTGCTTTTTTCACTTTTTTTTCACAAAAAAAATTATTTGATGGTTGGCCATGTATGGCTGCCATCGCCCAACATAAGACTGGCAGGAGCTACGGCATACAGTTTCCGACCGGCAACTTTCTCGCTATCTCTCTGCACCAGAGTTTCTTGGCTTGAAGGAGTGCTGAGAGCGCAGGAGCGATTGCGGTTTCTATGATGTGCACGTGTAAGAATGTGTATGTTTGTAGTGTATATATATAATATACACATACAGATATTATATACATAACTATACATACACAATGTAGCATTATACAAAAGCATTGCAAGTCGTTATAAGGACATGCCCTGAGAAAAGAGGGGTGGATCCCAGGTTGCCATCTCCTTGGCAAGTTGCAGAGGACAATGTCTCGGGATGTGGGCATTGGCTTGGCTCGACGTTGAATCTTTAAGTAACAATTTGCGAGAGGCTTCCTTCCAAACAAGCGACTCGAAGAATGCATTTGGATCCTGGGTTTTGATCGAGAATCTACTACTGAGTAGGTGGAGGCCGTCGCTATTAGGTTGGAGGCCATTACTACTAGGAACAAGAAGCTACTAGTAGCTTTGTAATTTCCGGGAACAATATGGAACGGATGCCGCAGGAGTTGGGCCAGGCTGGTGGCATGGCGGCTCCGAGATATTTGCTGGTCCGCCTTGGCCACTGGGCGTTTGAAAGAGGTAACATGCGTTGAACCCGAAGGCCCTAAGGATCATGGTACCAGTCATGGGCAAGTGAGATCGACTCCTTTCAACTGTTTCTGAGTGCATGATCCTGGCCAAAAGCATTTGACTGAACTTGTTGAGGGGCCAGGATTCCAGAACCATCCTTGCTGGACATGGGAAAGCTTTGCCGCTTCCCAGGAGAGTGTATCCCCGCAGAGACAGGTGCAGCCACAGTTCCTCGTTCCAGGCTGCTGTGCCTGCTTCTGGCTGTAAAGCATTTCCAATTATATATATATAAGTTTTACGCAGGTGGAGACAATTTGTTGTCACACTTCTCGCCAGATTGGATTGTGGACCACAGTGGCGGGACTTTCTGAACTTTGCAGAGTACGCCAATCCAGAGGGGGTCTCTTTGCAGGAGTGGACTCCGCTAGAGACTGCCAATCATGTAATTGGGACACGGCAATCACATTCCTTGAAGCCAAATGTGCCAGTGCTAGTGCAGCAACCATGAGTCATACGAGGATTATTAAGAGCTTTCATGGTGACTACACAACGTTAATGTATTGAAGATCTCCACACACACACACATGCACACGCATACTGTCAGAAGGGCTCGCACGCTTTGAAGCAGGAGGTGTTGACGTGCCCCTGTTGTTTGAGCATTTTCCGGCAGCCTATCGGTCTACCCTGTGGCCATAGTCTTTGCCGCAGGGGCGCCAAGAGTTTTGGTGTTTTAGCAGCGGGTTCCAAGCTGCCTTTGAGGAGGTTGCTATGTGCGGGTCTTCTCGCAGTCGACAAACTCCCGAAAATGCCCTTTGTGCCGAACGGAGCTGGGAGGGTTCCACAGCTTTGAGTCTAAAAGTTTGAGTCAAGTCAGCGGGTGACTTTGCGTTTTGCACTTGGTTGGAGGACCTGCCTCGTTGCGACCTGCGGGTGAATGTGGCAATGGCCGCAGTCTCTGATGCTTTGCGATCCTTCCTGGCAGTGCAAAGGTCAGCTTGGCTTTGTTGGCAGATGGGCCTGGATGTCACTCAGAGCCCAGATAATACAATATATATATATATATATCAATATATATATATATATGATGGTAGCCCTTGCTCCGCGCACCGCGCGGACCTGTTTTCCTCTTGGGCGTAAAAGTCCCTGCACGGTCGACCAAATCAACACTCCATCTACTTTCTAAATTGGCGAGGAATCGAACTGCCGGGCAACATTGAACCGCTGGACATGCTCTGGCCGCAAGCATTCAAGTAATCCACCAGATCTTTCAACCCTGGTGACCCTGTCTTATAATGGCTCATGCAGTAGGATCGGTAGCTGGCGAGATCAGGATCGTTGGGATCACGCATTTCCTCATAGGTCTTCACACCCTTGTACTTGCCAAAGGCCACTAAAGAGGATCCCCACTGGCTGATCGACGTCACACCGGGCGGCAGATTGCCTTGGGGATACGGAGACTGGGCCTGCTCCGACGACACCGGCATCGGAATGGGCATGGTCGCTCCCACCGATGAAGCAACATATGAGGCCATCTCTGGGCCTGTGGACTTCTTTTCTTCACGAAGACGCTTGCAAGCATCGGTCATAGTTCCAGAAGGGGAACCCTCCCACTTGAGGTCAAGTGAGATATCTTCGACATCTTGCACACGCTTCGTCAGGGCATCCCATGCACCACATTTCCTGGCTTTGAGAACCAGGCGGAAACACTCGTCAGCTTCGGCTGGAGTGAAAACACCCTTAGAGTTCATGACCATGGTCACTCGCACACGAACGGAAATCAAGCTCGACTTGTTCCACTCTCTTGGAGAAAGCTTGAACCATGTAACAAACACGGAGGTTGTTTGGATATTATTCTGCTCGGCAGGGTTAGGTTCTACTTAAAAAAACAAAACGCATGCATCATGAATTTGCTCTCTGCAGAAACAAGCACGACAAACAAACAAAAAGGATAGGCGGCAGCTTCACTATGGTTTGGTATTCATCAACCCTTAAGTGCATCACTCAAAATAACTCGTTATTATCCCTTGAGACTATATGCACTCATGAATACGACGCAGTGCTATTCATGCGCTGCGCTATCATGTGACTTGGTCTTCTGCACGTACTGTTTCCTGCGATCACGTTCCTGGGCTCTGCGCTCAAGTACCAAGGCCTCCGGGCTAATTTGGTAACGAGCGGTCCTTAGGCACGCTCTGACAAGATCGAATGCCTCAGGACTCTCCTTGGTGAGAGAGTCAGCCAACATCCTATCCATTGGTATCCACCGGATATGAGCTCTCATACGACTAATGCTATCCCTAAGGATGACGATATCGATCGAAGTTCGACGGTCTTCGAGCGTCGGAGAGGATTGAGCAATTAGATGGTCGTATAAAGACTTGCAATCGGTTACTAGCAACACCAAACGGTTTCCAAGGCCAGTCCATAGGCTCTGAGACAGTCGAGGTCCATCCAGGGCCTCTGACAAAATCAAACTTGTCCATTCAAGCATGCTCGAGGCAACTGACATGCTTTGAGCCTCAGCACTAAGTGTGGAGCTCACCACTCGAGGAAGGCGGAAGCTTTTCCAGTAGGCGGGTGTCCAAGAACAGTCGATTCCCTTGTTTACATCTTGGTGAACGAAACTCACCATGAAACCCGCTTGAGTGGCCCCCGCCCTGGCGTTGGCAAACGCTGCATCGGAATGACGCATCAAACCTAACTCACCCGGGGGCATTGAACAGTAATTGATCTTCTGATCTGCATGTTGTCGCGCCCTACGAACAGCATGATTTGCAGCAATTGCATCTCCTATTGTGGGCTTTGGAAACGATTGTTGGGAGAACGATACTTGTGTTCCAAGATCAGGTCGGGACTGGTTTGCTAGCCAGTTAAGGCTTCCATTCACAGCCCTCAAACAGCTAATCTCCTTGTCATCAAGGGGGGCATCCCTATCCCTACATCGCTCCCTACTCATATGGATGGGTCGGATTTTATGAGCAAACTTTTCTTGACTCATAGTGATCTCGAAGGTTTCCATGTTTTGCTCATACTGGGCACCGCAAAAATCCCCCGATCCTTGCCGCCACTTGCGGAATTCGAAAACCTTCTGCAAATCGGAAATGGCGTTGGTGTAGGCTGTTCGGCTGTTCCACAACCCCCTGTGACACAATCGTCAACGTGCACTCCATAGACCCCTTTTAGCTGTCCATGTTCTCTAAAATAGAACAAGCATGCATCAAATCGAGACCGTTCGAACCCAACACGGACAAGTTCTTGGTGCAGCTTCCGATACCATGCTGAGGGGGAGTCATTGAGACCGTACACATGACCTACTACCTCGATCAAGGCGTTCTCTGGCACGCCTGGTATTCCTCCCTTCGGAAGGCTAGCGTACAGAGGTCGATACCGCTTGGGGAGATCCCCTGCGGCCAGGAATGCACCCTTGATATCTCCCAAGGACATGTGCCAACGGTGGGAAGCCAACAGCTGAAACAGCATGTTCCTACCAACTTGGGACAAGGTGGGACTTTGAAGGTCTCCAGCACTGGCCTTTTCGCTCAAGTCGGGATCGAGGTGACCTTGGAGACACCACCTTGACTCTGGGAGGGGAATCATCCTCCTGCTTGATGGTAATGACATATCGGCTACCCATGATTCGATGTTGGAGGTGTTTCCTGACATCATCGGCTTCGGAGCCTAGAACTAACCGCGCAGCATGCTTCGAGAGGATGGTGTTCCACTCGAGCAATTTCGCTTCATCCACTCTGATTTGCAGTTCAAGGGGGTTCCCCGTGACGGGTATCTCTTTGGACGCTTTCTTCTTCATGTAGGGTGCTACCAAGACTTCATGTGATGCTCCGTTGTTGTACATGGTAACTAGGTCATTTATCTCTTCTAGTGTGAGGTTCTCAGCTCTCCTAACCAGTTTGGCCTGTGTGAGGTGTTCCACTGAACAGATGGTGATTTCATCCTTGGCAAAGGTTTCCCCTGCTGCTTGAACACAGAGCTGATCGTCTTCCCACCCTGTGGTCGGCTTCTTAGTCGAAGGCTGGGAGGACTCTGGTAGGTCCTCAGCTGAACGCTTGAGTCCATGCGGATCAGCAGGAGGCTCTGACGATGGCTCTGCTTTCGCCTGTTGGGGAGAATCCTCGATGATGCGGTTCACTAATTCAGGGACGATTTCCTGCATCATTTCTTGGAAGTCTTCATCTGCCATACGTCCAGGTCGATACAAAGCCATCGGGCCGTCTTTCTGGAGAATCCTACGACGAGGTCTGACGGGACCATAGCCTGTTTCCGGATCTACTGTGTCTGGATCTGGTCGAGTGGTCGACTGGTCAACAGGCTGTGGCAATTCTGCCTCGCGAAAATCAGTGGCTTTGTCCTGGACGGGTACCGGTGGTGAGAGGAGGTTAGCTTGCATATCGACATCTGACGATTTGGGCTGACCACCCGCTACCGTTTTGTCCAGCACAGACTGGGGGACTGAACCCCTGGCGGCTTCATCAGACCGAGTGTCCTCTGATGACTCTCCGGGATAGGCGTCAGGCACTAGATCGATATACTGTTTGCTTGACAGTTGACCCGATTCGATGAGATGTTTGATTCCCAAAAATTCCATATTTGGAGTCTCTACTAGTTTGATCTCATCCTGTGTCAACGAACGAACTTGTTCCGGGGCACACCGGAAAAATCTGTCTCTTATGGATGATCACCAAATTGCGTCCGACATACCCTAACACTACAGCAGGACCACACCATCGACCACTTTTCTCCAGAGACCCATGAACCCATTTTTGTGACCTCCAAAAGGCTATGTAGGGACCTGGCGCATACGTTGTGGTCACTCGAGGTCTAGCTGCCAGGGCCAAACGAAGGGCCTTGCTGTCTTGCAGATCGAGGACGGCTTTGCGAGCTGCAGCTCGAATAGCCACTTGTTTGGCTACTGCTTCTTCATAGAGAGCTGCAGAGGCAGGGACTATGTCCAACGGCTCGTCCAACAAATTTTCAGGCACTCTCGGATCTTTTCCAAACACAAAGAATTGGGAAGGTGTCATACCATATACCTGAATCAGTTGGTTCTTGCAATGAGCAGCATGGACGCAATCCAACCATTCTTCTTGAGTACGGGGTTCACGCTCAGTCAACACTTGGTCGAACACCCTGCTAAACCAACCACCATGAACCTCGACCTTGCCCAGTTGCCAGTGGGCATCTGCCGCCGTCAGCTTAAATGAGGCGCCGCCCTGTTCAAGGACAAGTGAAAAGGCATCAGCGATGTTTGCCCTGTGCGAATCACAAATCACTTCCTGGGGCGTACCAGCCCATGAAACCCACCGTTCCATGAACACTTGACGCGTGACCTGAGCTGTCTCTTTCCGGAATATCGGCACCGCCATCTGAAGCGAACTGGCAAAGTCCATTATATTAATAGCTGGAATTCGCTGATTGGGCTGCCATCCCTTGAGATACTTCACATCCACCCCTACAACAGCATTGAACTCAGTCACCCTTGTGGTTTGAGCAGGAAGGGCTACCTTGGGGTTCTTTTGGGCTTCGCATTGATCGCACTGGAATCGACGGGCAGCATCAATGGCAGCTGCTGAAGCTCCTCCATGCTTGAGGACTCTTAGCAACACGGCTTGAGAAGGATGGCCTAAGTTGTTATGCAACTTACGGAGGCTTGATCCGATCTTATCTTCTGGCTCTTGGTTCAGTTCCTCAAGCGAATGAGCGACGAGACACTCGATGTTCCGGTCATCCATCACTATGAGACACTCAGCTTCCGGGAGTCCTTTGACAGTGCGAAGAACAGCTTTCACAAAGGCTGGAGTGTACTTACATGCGCAAGTACTGATCGCTCCTACCTGAGGGTGACTGCCGGCCACTACTTGATGTCTGGAGTGATCTCCATGGGACGACCCGGGGCATCGATTGGCAATTCCCTTCATGTGAGACCAACAAATTTGTGGTCTTCCGGATCAGGTCGCCGCCTGGGATTCGAAGGCCATACTGACACATATCGACGACGATCATGTGCATGAACTTGGTCAGTTTCACCATGCTGGGGTGATGCCATGCTACAGAATCTTTGGGGTGTTCGAACAAACATTGTCCACCATACGAAAACTGCAGTTCCATGAGTTCGCAACAAAACTGAATGAACACCCTGGTCCAAAATTGCCGTTGAGCGACCTCCTTATCAGTCATGTGTAGGCGGTTGAGATGCCACCATCCGCCTGACGTGCATGGAGGGCAACACACTAACAACTTGGGTCGGCTTGTTCGAACATGCTCCTTGAGTGCATCACGATCGGCTCGGCGGCGGAAATCCCAACCTGTGCATAAGTCGGCCGACAACACAGACCATCCGACCTTTGCACCTTCAAGCGCAAAACGAGGCGGAGAAAACACTTCTATGATATCAAAGGATGAACCCCTGACAGGACCAGGAGCCTGCAGCTGAGCCATGAGCGGCCGATGTTGTTTGGCAGTCCAGTGCATGACACTCAGCTTTTCGTCCTGGGCCCCGACGGGGATCGGAACTGACGCGTCGGGTCGGAGTTGGAAGATGGTGGTTCCGGTCCACGGCTTCGAATCATGTTTGCGATGGGCTCTCTCCGGATCGGTCCACAAATCTTCTGTTGTTCGGAGGACGGAGGCCGGGCTATCGACGGTAGTAGTTCGACTGGCCTGAAGAAGATGCACGTCGATTGGACACTGTGTGTTGTTTGGTGTGAACAAGGTTTCCCTGGGCTTACGATGGTGCCTAATCACAATGCGTTCTTGAGGCTTTTTACTCCCAATAGTCTTTCTGTTTTTGGGGATGACGATCATACGTCACCGAGAGGCATGCTGTCGGCTCCGGAGTGGCCTGCTCGTCATGGGCCAGCGGCGGAAACGACTTGGGAAATCGGACACCTTGATGGCATACTGTCCAGCTGCATTGACCTCCAGGGGCACCCGAACTCGATCAGGAAAAACTTGCAGGGTGTCACCTGAAAAATTAACTTGAGCCTGCAACTTCTTCAGGGCAGGCCGAGAAAGCAACAAGGGAGCTCTCCCTTTAACTACGGCAGCTGTCACATAGCCGGGGCGTCCGGCCAAGTAGACGGGCATGTCCACCACAGTTTCACTCATTTCTTGTTCACCATTCCCATAGCGGAAACTATTGCGTTCCGCCTTTTCTGGTCGGGGAGCAATACCATGTCTTTGCCAAATGTCCTTAAAGGAGTTCAGCGTGTCACGACCGATGATTGTTTTCCCGCAGCTGCTGTCCAGTACTGCAAAACCTGGACTGCTCACCAATAGCACTTCATGTTCCTCACAGCGAGCAGCAGTACATACGAAATGTTCAAGTGGCTCACAGACTTGGACAGTTCCAGCAGCATGGCTTGGAGCCTGGTGGGAAGCCGATGACGAAGAGCCCTGGCGACACTCTCGTTGCCAATGTCCCAGTTTTCCGCACTTACGGCATCGTGTCCGTTGCTTCAGCTCCTCCACCTGAACCCTGAAGGACCGTTTGAAGTCCTTGGACGCTCCAGCTCCCTTGCGGGCATCAGGCGCAGAAAAACGACGTCCTTTTTGCACCATGTTCAACTCAGCCCTCTTTTCTTTCCATGTCGCAGCTAAAATCTCAGCTGCCTCTTCCTCCTCGAAGCCCTCTGTGTCACCAGCTGAAAATGAAGGATCCTTTTCATGATGGCCATGTTCGGCCAAAAACAACTCCACATCACGAAACCCGTCATATGACGGCTCGTCCAGGGGTTCTGACACAGAAGGGGGGTCGTCCAAGGTCACAGCGGCAACGGCTCGCTTCTTGGGCACCACATAGTCCGGGAAGCAAGACCTCATCGATTGCGAGACCTGATCAAACTTCAAGTCCCCTTGAGCACGTGCCAGTACGACCGCACGTTGTTCAGCTTGAAGACCACTGCAATTCAGGAGTATCCATCCACGAGCTTCTTCAGGGAATTTTACTCCAGTCTTTCGAGCACAGCGGTCGAAGGTTTCACGGCTTCGAGCACACCATTGGCGGACACTCTCGCCCTCTGTCGCCTTCAGGGCGAATACAGCAGCTATGGTTTCTCCTATCTCATCTGTCCGGTCCAATTCCGGCCAACGTTTGTCAAGGAGGTGGAAGATCACCTTGTCCCCGCCCTTGACCTGGTAGTCACTCTCCTTGAGGTGCTCGATAACCTCGAGTGCACGGCCAGAAAGAAGAGTCCAAACAAAAGATCCACGAGAATCTTCAGCCAGCTTGTCCATGGTCCGCATTTTGTTCACGACCCATTGTTTCCACCTCCTATACTCTCCCGTTGAAATAACGGAGAGAAGTGCCAGCCTCCATAGCAGCACGGTCGACGACCTAGGTATGCGTCCAGCGCACCGAATCCTACAGGAGTCAGGATTTTACCTGCCCCGCTACCAATGATGGTAGCCCTTGCTCCGCGCACCGCGCGGGCCTGTTTTCCTCTTGGGCGTAAAAGTCCCTGCACGGTTGACCAAATCAACATATATATACATATTTTATCATTTTTTGCTAGATCGAGGCTGCACACCTAGAATACCGCAGGCCATCGATGATGGGTAAATGATTACGTGGTGCTGCTGACAGGAAACGGCCGTGTGTATACACACAGTCGTCGTACCATATATTTATTATATAGTGCAATAAGTAATTTGATGCTGACACTGCTATTTTTGCATGGATTTTGTTTGTCTCTTCCTTGTTTGTGAGGATATTGACTCTCAAACGGATACACCTGGACCTGGCCCTGCGGGTTTTAAGTCCTACAAAAGAATGAGAGCTGGCCAAAGATGGTATTCAACACGAACAGCTATATGCCAAAGCTTTGATTACACATCTAAACATTCATTTCAATGCTACCTGTGCTCCTCATCTCTGTACAACCGCACCTCCTTTGACAGACAAAACATATGTTAGTCTAGACTTATCGCCTCTCTCATCAATGCCACGTGGATGAAACCTTTGCATTAGCAAATATACTGGCAGCAAGGACGCTACTAGGAGCAAAGGGCATCGCTACTAGGAGCAAGGACGCTACTAGGAGCAAAGGGCATCGCTACTAGGAGCAAGGACGCTACTAGGAGCAAAGGGCATCGCTACTAGGAGCAAGGACGCTACTAGGGGCAAAGGGCATCGCTACTAGGAGCAAAGTGGCACATCCATGGTTCCTTCAGACCTCCTGCGGTCAGGCCCAATCCACGAACCGCCTGAGTGCCGGGCGCCGGGTGGGCCGCTCAAAGGGCGGCTTGACAATCCTGAAGTGAAGTTGAAAAGCGTGAGGAACGACAGGGTGTGATAGAGTTGATGGAAAGGCTCTTGAGTGAATGGAAAGCGTGAACGTATATATATATATATACATATAATAGCTTAAGACCTTGCATAAGGGCCATTTGAGGATGAACGTTTTGACGTTGAGGTAAGAGAGTCCATTAAACTCCTATATGTTGAATGTGGGTCTTTTGGACTTTGCATGCCGAGTATTTGCGGCTTACGGCAGTCAAGGCCAAGGCAAGAACATCACTTTGCAAGCAGGGCCACATAAGTCATGAATGCTTGTGGGCATGGCAGGCCCTCCCCCAAAACACCACCCGAGCTTTTCTCAGTTGCTACCCAAGCAGACAAACCCGTGCAATGTGAGAAAAGCTCTATGCAGTTCAAATGCTTCGTCAGCGCTGATCATGCTTCTTTGTTTTATACAAAGGCCTGTGGGAGTCTTTGCTCCGGAAGCGTTTTTGTGGTAGAATCTTGTCTCAGTGCACTGTGGAAGATGCTTCTTAGGCGCCGCTTGGGGCGAACGTTGCTTTTTTGTCCGATCCTTTTTGTCGTGTTCTTGGTGCTTGGCGCGTGGAGATCTATTTTGTTTGCTTTAGGTGCATGCTTCACAGCGGCGAGATCTGAAGAGGCGGACAGCGATCGAAGATCAGTATTTCGTCTCAGTATCTCATTGGTATTGTTGGATTTGTATGAGTATTTTGCCTGCGTCTTATTAACGAAAGCCAGCCCATAGGCTAGGCTGGAGTTGTCGATGTATTGGGGGATGTGGGGGGGTGGTTACTTAGGGGTATAATTTGGGTTGGGCGAACCGAGAGCCTGGGGGAGCGAAAAAAAGAGGCGGTCCGAAAAGCAGTGAACATGTATGGTGTGGTTTTTGGGATGTTTTGATGCAAGTGATGTACGCCGAGGAGTGCATCATCAGCATCATGAGGGGCTCAGGGGCTACTTAAACAGTCTTTCGACAGGGGGTGGGACCGGGTGCCGGTGCTCGTGCTGGTGCCGGTGCCGTTGCTGGTGCTGGTGCTGGTGCTGTGAGCTGGCTGTGCACGTGGTGGAGAGACAGGTTGGTGGAGACAGGTTGCTGGTGCTGGTGCTGCCGGGTGCCGGTGCTGGTGCTGGGTGCCGGGTGGCTGGTGCTATGAGCTAGCTGTGCGTGTGGTGGAGACAGGTTGCTGGTGCGGGCGCCGGTGCTGGCGCTGGTTCTGGGTGCTGGTGCGGGCTGTGGTGCTGGTGCTGGGTGCTGTGAGCTGGCTGCGCGCGTGGTGGAGACACGGTGCCGGTGCTGGGTGCTGGCAGTGCGCATGGTAGAGACAGCGGGCGCCGGTGCCGGTGCTGTGAGCTGGCAGTGTGCGTGGTGGTGACTGGGCGCCGGTGCTGGGTGGTGGCTGTGCGCGTGGTGCAGACAGGGTGCCGGGTGCTGGTGCTTGGCGCTATACCGGTGCTGGGTGCTGGTGCTGGGCGCCGTAAGCTGGCGCGCCGGTGCTCGGTGCTGGTGCCCGCTTCTGACAGTGAAGCGATAACAACCGCCGCTTCTGACAGTGAAGGGTAACAAACCGCCGCTTGCAGCAGTGAAGGGTGACCAAGCGCCGCTTCTGACAATGAAGTGCAAGCAGTCATGGGCCGCATGAACTTATGCACGCAACATCATACGGTGTTGTCGCTTGAGCGTTCTTTGTCTATTAGCGCTGTGGGGTTCTGTTTTGGCCGACAGCTGTGTCTGTTTGCGCGCATACTTTTGTACGTATAATGTTCTGTGCGTCAGGCTCTCAACCGACCATTGTACCAGCGTGTTTCAGCATGCTACACACACAATAGTCGTGCTGGATACTGCTTGGCCTTGGGCGAGTGAAGCCTACGGGCTTTGCCGATTGCGCGCATGCTTTTGTGCGCGTACACTCAAACGCACAAGATCATACGGCCTTATCGTTCTGCAGGTCGTTGCTTCAAGCATGCTACAAAGTCAATAGTGGCGCTGGATACTGCCTGGCCTTGGGCCAATGACACTTACGGGCTTTGCTGTTAGCGCGCGTACTTTTGCGCGCATAAACTTATACGCGCAAGATCATACGTTGTTATTCCCCAAGTAGGGATAGCTATGGGGTTCTTGCTGCAAATAAGAATGAGCTGGCTGCGCGCGCTTTCAAAAGGGTGTCGGTGCTGGTGCTGGTGTTGTGGTCCTGGGTGCTGGTGCTGTGAGCTGGCTGAGCGCGCGTTTAAGACGGGCGGTGGCGCTGGTCGGGTGCTGGTGTCAGCTGACTGCGCGAGGTGTCGTAAGCTGGCTGCGCAGGCTGCGTACATTCTTGTTCCAGCCAGTCGCATGTCAACAGCTCGTGGGATTCTGCCTAGCTATCTGGGTCTATGCTGGTGTAATTTTACGAAAAACCCTTCGCAGACGCTCTCGGAAAAAAAAAGAGCGAGGGGTGAAGACGTGAGATGTGCAGATGTGAAGATGTAGATGTAGATGTACAGATGTGAAGATGTGAAGATGAGCAGAGCTGTACATATGCAGATGTGAAGATGAGCAGAG